ATTTTAAAATTTTATTAGACTTTCTAATTTTTCCAGAAAGAGACTGTGTCTACGATAAGCTACTCCATCATAGCCAGGAGAAGCATTAATTTTTGTTTTTAGATTTTAACCCAGTATTTCTTCATGATATTGTTAATTCTTCAACATATCTAAGACAGTTTCACTCAGATAAGTTTTTTCAAATTACATGGACTGCTTTTACTGAAAATAAATGTATCTATTTAAGGAAAATCTGGGCATCCCACACTGTAATCCATAGAATAACCTATCCATTAGCCATGATTTTTCAATTATTTAGTTTCTTCAGAAATATAATGACTCAAAATAAAAGCAATGTCTTTGTGGTTCTAAAAGGTGGATGAGTTTTATTTACTACTGATAATAGAACTATTTAAATACACGTAGCAAAAAAGATGCAAAAGAAACATTTTTTTTTTTGGTCTCTGATCCTTTGATATAAAACCAAAAAACAAGGGTTCAGGAATGCAATTTGAGTGGGATAAATTTATTGACTCTAAAATGCTTTATTAAAAAAAATTGTAGGTACTAAACAATTCACTTTTCCTGCATAATTAATTTAAAATAGACAAGTATAATTTATTAATAAAACCATCTCAAGATGATTAAATACTTTAACTTGCAACCCAATCATCTCTGACGACACAGATACTGTGTCACAATGAAAGAACTCCCTGTTGGAATTTCCATGTGATTACCAAAAGGCTTGAATGAGCAATGGCTATTCTTTTTTTAAAAAAGGAAAGCAATAGGATAAATAATCTTGTCTAAACTATTATTGAGCTACCCATTTAATCCATAATAATCAATGGCAAATAGTCTGCTACATCAGTAGAAGCATGGGCACCCTACCAAGTTATTGCCTTATCAAAACTAATATTCCTACATTCTATCTAGGTGTTGCCTTATCAACACTAAGATATCTCAAACTTCAGCATATATAAGAATCACCTAGGAAGCTTATAAATGCAGATGTCTGATTCATACACATTGGATATATTTTGAGAAAATCTTCAGTAAATTCTGATACACATAAGAGTTTTAAAACCATGGCCATAGTTTAAAGAGAAAAAAATAGGAAGGGCAACTGGGGTATTATGTCAAAGAATGTCATTTAACCTACAAGTTTTATGTTTTGATTTTTTTGAAAGAAATTCGCAGAAATAAAATGGGGGAAAGTTGAATATACAAGCTATACAAAAACAGAAATAATAGAAATTGCAAAGTAGGCCAGGCGTGGTGGCTCACACCTGTAATCCCAGCACTTTGGGAGGCCAAGATGGAGGATCATGCGGTCAGGAGATAGAGAACATCCTGCCCAACATGGTGAAACCCCATCTCCATTAAAAACACAAAAAATTAGCCTGGTGTGGTGGTACATGCATGTAATCCCAGCTACTCGGGAGGCTGACACAGGGGAATCGCTTGGGCTCAGGAGGCAGAGGTTGCAGTGAGCTGATATCGTGCCACTGTACTCCAGCCTGGCGACAGAATAAGACTCCATCTCAAAAAAAAAAAAAGAAAGAAAGAAAGAAAGAAATTTCAAAGTAAAACATTTCAGAATCTGTGTTTTAACAAAATTCTTTTAAAAACAATGTAATATTTGCCTGATCTTTGGTTGTAGTATATTATATAATTTATAAAATTATAAGACATTGATAATTCACAAATTTAATTAAAACTCTCTTTAAAGTGCCAAAACTGATTAATAAAACAAAGTATATAATAAGCAATGCTAAATGTGAAGTCACAGAGAAGCTTTTCAGTATAAATTAATTTAAAAATACTAAATAAGTTAGAAAGAAGAAAAATAATATAGGTAGAAATGGTAAGTCTTCAATAGTTGATAAGGAAACAGGCTTTGTCTGCCACCTAGAAATAAAACTTAAATGGCTAAAGAATGATAAGGTTGGGTGTGCTGGCTCACGTCTGTAATCCCAGAACTTTGGGAGGCCAAGGCGGGCAGATCATGAGGTCAAGAGATTGAGAGCATCCTAGCCAACATGGTGAAACCCTGCCTCTACTAAAAATAAAAAAATTAGCTGGGCATGGTGGTACATGTCTGTAGTCCCAGCTATTCAGGAGGGTGAGGCAGGAGAATCACTTGAACCCAGGGGGCGAAGGTTGCAGTAAGCTGAGATTGAACCACTGCACTCCAGCCTGGCAACAGAGCGAGACTGTCACGTGCGCGCACACACACACACACACACACACACACACACACAAAAGATATCCAAAGGAAAAGAACAAATCTGGTGCTTAATCTACTACTGAGATTTACTTTACTGAGAAAGTAAACGAACTTCCCTTATGTCATACACAAGCTTTGTCCTCAATCTTGTTTGTTAAATATAAACATGGTATATCTTTTTATTCTACACAGAAGTCATTTTACAAGATACCTTATATATTTTATGAGCTCATCATTATTTTATCTAGTATTCAGTTGCATACTTGAACAGATTTTAAGTTCATTTAGTATGTTAATTTTGTCTTTTAACTAGTGTTATCCTAATTTAAAACACAAGGTAATTTATTAAATCATTTTCTATTCAGATAATGATTTAAATATCTTTTTGAGTTGTTATACGCTTTTCTAAAATTTTAGGGTGATGGCCTTCTGTAAAATTGACAAAAATTATTACCATCCTATGGAGTCCTAAATGTAACTGAATCTTGCTTCATAACTTACAAAATGATTAAACAAAGATAATTGTAAATTAAAATGTTTATTAACCATAAGATGGCACAAAATAAAATTTGGCAACTCACTAGTTAATGATGATGAGCCCATAAAATCCAAAAAATAAATTTTATTTTATTTAAGCAAAATCCCACCACCCGCCATAAACCTGATGCTCATTCATGTTGTTGCTTGGATGGTGCTTGCTATCCTGGTATCCTACCTCAAGTAACTACCTCAAGACTGAAAGACAAGTCTCACCAAGAAGGCCGTATCATAATTACATTGAACCTTCGTGATCTAACCCACTACTAACTCAGTTTTCATTATATAATCTTCTTGTATTTTTTTCCCCTTCAGTTTAGCAGTCTCTCGTTCCCTAATTGTTTCATGGATACATCTCTTAAATATCTAAGCTCTGTGGGCAGAGATCAAATATTCAGGAGAACAAAATACTATTTCAGAGACAGAAAATATTTTTGAGATTCATGTTAAATTTTCTCATATACTTCTTATTTTGGGAATAACACAATTAATTAGCTTGATCAAATAGTGCAGCACATAAGTTAACACTCATTACATGGTGAAATTAGAAAATATCACAATTGTGCTGTTACCCAAATGTTTAAAACACAGAAAAAAAATTTTAATGGTAAAATTATTTGTAATTCTGACATTCAAACCTACTACTTCACTTGAAAAAGCTATGTTTGGCAATTACAAAATACTTATAATTAATGAGATGCAAATATTTTAACAATTTTAGTTTAAGTCTTTTTTGAATAATGCTAAAAATGCATGCAACAGACAGCTAAACTACTATGTTCCAGTTTATTTTTTGGCTATTTCTATGATTTTCTTTATCCTTATCTTTGCTCTGGAGCAATATATATATATAATATATATATATTATATATATATTATATGTATACACACACACACACACATATACACATATATAATCACTGATTCTTGAAAGTTGCAAAGTTAATAGTTAGAAGTTATTTATTTAATTTGTATTATATTTCCTAATATACCTTTGTAGTATATTTTTGTAAATGTTCATATGTTTAAGCAATAACAAAACACACACACAAAATTTAAAAGATAAATCTAGCCAAATCAAAGAAAACAAATTAAAAGGAATATTTAGTGGTCTATTTTATGAAAAGGGTTTTAATCTAATGTAAACTGCAGAAAGAAAGGAGTAAAGAACAGTCAGAAATGCCTAAATGAGAATGATATTGCCATGACTTGGATATGATTTGTCTGTTCCCATAAAATCTCATGTTGAGAATTCCCAATGTGGCAGTGTTGGGAGGTGAGGCATGGTGGGAACGGTTTGCGTCAGGGGAGCAGGTCTCTCATGAATAGATTAATATCCTCCCTCATGGGTGACCAGGTTCTAATTCCATTAGTTTCTTGTGAGAGCTGGTTGTACAAAAGATCCTGGCACCTCCCCCTCTCTCTGGCTTCCTCTCTCACCATGTGATTTCTGCACACTGAGGCTCCCCTTCACCTTCTGCCATAGGTGGAAGCAGACTGAGGCCCCCACTGAATGCCCGATTTCAAACTTTTCAGCAATGATAATCATGAGACAAACTTTTTTCCTTCATAAACTCTCCAGGCTTAAGTATTCTCTTGTGGCAATATGAAACATATAAAGTCAGGTATAAATTTAGTGATATTAGTATAAAATTTTTAAAGTCTTTTAAGGCTGAAAATTAATTGGCCCATTAATCTCTCAATAATAAAAATGCAAAGACTTTGAATTCATGTGCTCAACCTAAGTCAATAGCCTCTACAGAAGTCTCTTCTATGGTAAAGAAGAAAAAGAAAGAATAAATGTCAGAGAGCAGCTCAGATCCTGTAGTGCTAGGACCAAAAGATAGAAAAAAAAAAATTGGTAATAAAGCAATTCATATACTTATTTCAAAAGGAAGGAAAAAGCCACAAAGATATCTACTATAGACTATGCAAACCTAAACTCATCAATAATTGATTCCAAAAGACATATTATTTGGCTCTTTTTAAGGTAAGGAATTCTAAGTGACTCATAACTATTTTTGTGTTTCCTCCCAGAAAACTGCCTAATGCTCCTCAACTCTCTTGCTGTAATATTAATTCTAAGGCCAAAATCAAGCAGACTGTTTTTAATTTCACATCTTTAGATTGACATAGTCTTTTCAAATAGACTACCTTAAATAAATTATGAAAAAATACCAAAATGATAGTAAAAATAAGTGATAGGCATTCACTTAGGCTAATATAAAACATGAAATCATAGTTCATTACATACCACAGCACTCAGGACATTTTGGATGTTGCATGTCATTCATTCCATACCCTGGAAAGCAGCGATTAATCCAAACCATTTGGAGAGTACCTTCAATGTAGTATATTTCAGGCAATGGTTCTGCACGTCTGCCAAGAGCTTCTACTTGTTGATTAAAAAATCTCTCTATGAGATTTTTAGCCTGAAATATAAATAAAATTTGATAAAAATTATTAGCTATAAAAATATAATTTTAAAACAAATAAGGATGCATGTGGAGTTAGAGTTTGAGGAAAACAAACTCTCAAGGTTTTTACGTTTTCTTGCACTCACAGAATATAAATAAAACACAAGAAACTGAAAAGATGTCTTTAATACACATCAAATATTTCTAAATGTACGTCTAATTTCAATGCAAAAAAATCATTTGAAGACATAACCAAACTTTTTGGTCTCTTTGTATTTTCAATAATATATGGATAAGTAACTGAGTAAAATCAAGAAAGCTATTTGAAATTTATTGAATGGGAAGAAATGTATAGTACTTTAAAAATGTATTTTAAGCATCTGTAAGAAGCATATCCTGAGGCACAACATTCACTCTTTTCACAAAGGAAAATTTAGTTTAAAAACATGAGACAATATAACATATTACAACTTTTAGCTCTGTTTCAAAAATTAAGTCTAAATAATAATAAAGTATCATCTGATCTATACTCATCTTTAAGTTTATAATAATTAGACTGACTTGCCTCCTAAAATTAACAAGAGGCTTATTCTCTATGACTGCTACAGTCTACACATTAAAGTATGAGGTATGGTCATAACTTCAAACTGCTACCAGCTAGTTAGTTCTACTCCATTCTGCCATACTAACTTGCACCTCCAATCTGGTTAGGAGCAGGAACAAATGGACAACATAGGCTGATCTATAACCACTAATGGTGCACCTCATGTCTACTGAGTTCTTCCAATATCTTGTAAATTACACTCCTTCCATTACAATTTCTATAATGTCCACACTTGACCATGCAAAAACACCCACAAAGGATGATAAAATAACTTTGTTTCACGCATAAAGTAATTTAAAATATCGCATAAAATTATTTTCAGGTTGTGTGTATAAGGCAGTGAGTGGTTCCCAACCTTTTCAGCACAAGGGAATGGTTTTATGGAACACAATTTTTGCAAGGACCAGGGTGGCAGGATGGTTTCAGGATGAAACTGTTCCATTCTAGATCATTAGGCATTAAGATTCTCATAAGGGGGATTCCCCCAAGATGGCCTTATAAGAACAGCTCTAGAGTGTATTTCCCAGTGAGATTGAAGTAGAAGGCAAGTGATATCCCCATTTCCAACTTAGATACCAGGTTCATTTCAATAGGACTGGTTGGACAGTGGGTGTAGCCCAAGGAGGATAAACCAAGACAGGGCAGGGTGCTGCCTCACTTGGGAAGTGCAACTGACTGGAGGATCGGGGACTGCCCCCCTGCCCCCCGACAGCACTCTGGTTCAGATACCATGCTTCTCCCATGGCCTCTGCAAACCACAGTCCAGGAGATCCCCAGCGGGCTGAAAAGACCTGTGAGTAAACAGCACAGATCTGAGTGGCAGCTCCAGCCAGCGCCGGTTGTCAGCACAGATCTGGGCAGACGTTTTGACTAGCACTGAGAGCACCTGTGGGACGGAGCTACCTGCTCCCCAGAAAGAGGGGGTGCTGAAAGCAGAGAGACAGGTGATAGGCTGGGTGGGTCCCACCCCCACATAAACAAGCAAACTGAAGCCTTCTCACTTGAGAGTTTCACAGCCAACACATAAGTTTGAGCCCGACCTACGATGATTGAGCCTGATGGGGTGAAGGGCATCCGTCATTGCTGAGGTGGGTCTAAACCTACCTGTGTAAACAAAAGCCAGAGGAAGCCTACACAGCAGCTGGAATGAGGCTGTGACAGCCCAGCAGTGCCTCTGCAGGCAGACAAGGGACAGACTGCCTCCTCAAGTGGCTCCTCGACCCCTGTATACCCAAAAAGGCACCTCATACAGGAGAGCTCTGGATGACACCTGGGGGGCACCCTTCTGGGATGAAGCTACCAGAGGAAAGATCAGGAAGCAATCCTTGCTGCTCAGCAAACCCCACAGGTGATTCCTAGGCAAGCAAGGTCTGGAGTGGACCTGCAGCAGTCCTACAGCAAAGGGACCTGACTGTTAGAAGGAAAACTAAAAAACAAAAAGAAATAGTTTCAACATCAACAGAAACAATGTCCACTCAGAGACCCCATTCAAAATGCCCAACTTCAAAGATGAAAGGTAGATAAATCCATAATGATAGGAAGAAACCAGCACTAAAGGATGAAATCAACAGAGACTAGAATGCCTATCCTCCCCCAAGGGCTCACCAAGGGATCACAACTCCTCACCAGCAAGGGAACAAAACAGGATGGAGAATGAGTTTGATGAATTGACAGAAGCAGGCTTCAGAAGGTGGATAATAACAAACTTCTCTGAGCTAAAGGAACATGTTCTAACCCAATGCAAAGAAACTAAAAACCTTGAAAAAAAGTTAGACAAAATGCTAATTAGAATAACCAGCTTAGAGATGAACATAAACGACTTGATGGAGATGAAAAACACAGCACGAGAACATCAAGAAGCATACATAAGTTTCAATAGCCAAATCAATCAAGCAGAAGAAAGGATATCAGAGACTAAAAAGCAACTCAATGAAATAAAACAGGAAGGCAAGATTACAGAAAAGAGAGTAAAAAGAAATGAACAAAGCCTCCAAAAAATATGGGATTATGTGAAAAGACCTAATTCTACACTTACAGGTGTACCTCAATGTGATGGAGAGAATGCACCCAAGCTGAAAAACACTCTTCAGGTTCTCATCCAGGAGAATTTCCCGAACCTAGCAAGGCAGGCCAACATTCAAATTCAGGAAATACAGAGAAAACCACAAAGATATTCCTCAAGAAGAGCAACCCTAAGGCACATAATTGTCAGATTCACCAGGGTTGAAATGAGGGAAAAAATGCTAAGGGCAGCCAGAGGGAAAGGTCGGGACACTCACAAAGTGAAGCTCATCAGACTCACAGGGGTTCTCTTGGCAGAAACCCTACAAGCTAGAAGAGAGTGGGGGCCAATATTCAATATCCTTAGAGAAAATGACTTTCAACCCAGAATTTCCTATCTAGCCAAACTAAGCTTCATAAGCGAAGGAGAAATAAAATCCTTTACAGACAAGCAATTGCTGAGAGATTTCATCACGACCAGAACTGCCTTACAAGAGCTTCTGAAAGAAACACTAAACATGGAAAGCAACAACCAGTACCAGCCACTGCAAAAATGTACCAAATTGTAAAGACCAATGAATCAATGAAGAAACTGCATCAACTGATGGACAAAACAACCAGCCAGTAACAAAATGGCAGGATCAAACTCACACATAACAATGTTAATGTTAAATATAAACGGCCTAAATGCCCCAATCCAAAGACACAGACTGGCAAGCTAGATAAAAGTCAAGACTCCTTGGTGTGCTGTACTCAGGAGACCCATCTCACATGCAAAGACACACATAGACTCAAAATAAAGGGATGGAAGAAGATTGACCAAGCAAATGGAGAGCAAAAAAAAAGCAGGGGTTGCAATCCTACTCTCTGATAAAACAGACTTTAAATCAATAAAGATCAAAAGAGACAAGGAAGGGCATTCCATAAAGATAAAAGGATCAATGCAACAAGAAGAGTTAACTATCCTAAATTTATATTTACCCAATACAGGAGCACCCAGATACATATAGCAAGTTCTTAATGACCTACGAAGAGACTTAGACTCCCACACAATAATAGTGGGAGACTTTAACACTCCATTGTCAATATCAGACAGAACAATGAGACAGAAAATCAACAAGGACATCCAGGACTTGAATGCAGATCTGGACCAAGCAGACCTAATAGACATCTGCACAACTCTCCACCCCAAATCCACAGAATGTACACTCTTCTTAGCACCACATCATACTTACTCTAAAACTGACCACATAATTGGAAGTAAATCACTCCTCAGCAAAAGAATAGAAATCGTAACAGTCTCTCAGACCAGAGTGCACACAACTTAGAGCTCAGTATTGAGAAACTCACCCCAAACCACACAACTATATGGAAACTCAACAACTTGCTCCTGAATGATGACTGGATAAACAATGAAATGAAGGCAGAAACAAATGTTCCTTGAAACCAATGAGAATGAAGACACAACATACCAGAATCTCTGGGACACATTTAAAGCAGTGTCTAGAGGGAAATTTATAGCAATAAATACCCACATGAGAAGTGAGGAAAGATCTAAAATCGACACACTATGGTCAAAATTGAAAGAGCTAGAGAAGCAAGATCAAAAAAATTGAAAAGCTAGCAGAAGACAAGAAATAACTAAGATCGGAGCAGAACTGAAGGAGACAGAGACACAAAAACCCCTTCAAAAAAATCAATAAATCCAGGAGCTGGTTTTTTGAAAATATCAACAAAATAGATAGACTGCTAGCCAGGCTAATAAAAAAAGAAGAGAGAGAAGAATCAAAGAGATGGAATAAAAAATGATAAAGGGGATATCACCAACGAGTCCACAGAAATACAAACTACCATCAGAGATCACAACCAACAACACTATGCTCATAAACCAGTACACCTAGAAGAAACTGATAAATTCCTGGATGCTTACACCCTCCCAAGCCTAGACTAGGAAGAAGTTCAATCCCTGAATAGACCAATAACAAGGTCTGAAGTTGAGGCAGCAATTAATACCCTACCAAACAAAAAAAATCCAGGTCCAGATGGGTTTACAGCCAAATTCTACCAGACATACAAAGAGGAGCTGGGACCATTTTTTATGAAACTATTCCAAACAACACAAAAAGAGGGAATCCTCCCTAACTCGTTTTATGAGACCAACATTATCCTGATACAAAAACCAGGCAGAGACACAACTGAAAAAGAAAACTTCAGGCCAATATGCATGATGAACATCAATGCAAAAATCTTCAGTAAAATACTGGCAAACCAAATGCAACAGCATATCAAAAAGCTTATCCATAACGATCAAGTCAGATTCATCCTGGGGATACAAGGCTGGTTCAACATACACAAATCTATAAACACAATCCATCACATAAACAGAACCAAGGACAAAAACCACATGATC